AACACAAATAAAATTATTTTTTTTTTTTTTTTTTTTTTTTTTTTTTTTTCAATGAACAAACTAAAAAGGGAAAGGAAAAGGGATTGTGCAGAAAGAAAGGTCACAATATGAGAGTCACTGATCATAACCAAACAGGACAAAGGAAAAAAAATCAGATGATGGACATTTCTGTGGTTTGTTTCATTGTTTGTTTTTTGTGTTGGTTTTTTTTTTTTTTCTGAAAAAAAAACCCAAAAAACAAACAGGACAAAGATGAGGAGGATGAAAGGACAGAGAGAATGAATAAGATCATTCTGTGAACGTTAGTTCAGCACTCTTACCTCTTATTGGTGTACCACCTGGGTGGATAATATGAATGCAAATAAGATTAGAAAGAAGAAGCATTAGTACGAGAAGAAGGAGGCTAGGGCTTTGGAAGAAGAATCAAATTAGATTTACAGAATTAAATAAGGTCTTAAGAGAAACTTGAATTACTATACTGTTAAAACAGGAATATATCAGATAGTATTATCAGGTTATAAAAGCAAGTTGCATTGTACCACAAAGGGCAAAGGCTACAATTGGCTGCAGTGCCATTCTCAGAGTAGAATCTGAGGTCTTAGATGTTTGGTTATATAGGGTTAGATATATATTGAATATGTCTCAAATACTTAAAGGAAACTTTACAATACTGTACTTATGACATAGTTTAGGAAAATATTGGAAATTCTATTTAAATATATATATAAAAATCTATATATATATAAAAAGAGGATACACTGAAGGCTATCTCAAAACAAATACTGCAGTTTAGGCTGAATTATGGCATTTACTGTTCTACAGCTATGTGATACATGTGTACTGTTTCTTTTAGGTGTTTCTATGACTGATAAGACAACATTTCTGTGGAGGTGTGCGTGTGCGCCACTATAGGGATCTGGTGACTACACTGACTGTTAGTAAAATGCATGCCATGCATTTTAAGAATAATAGTAATCATATAATAATCATAATAATCATAAAATTCTGAATATGGAAATTAGTGGGGGTGAAGTGCGCTTCAGAACTAAGCACTTACCAATAGATTCTGGAGATTTAAATACGGAGAGAAGAAAGACAGCATAAAAATATTATTATATTCCTTATAATTTGGTACAAAGTTTTCAGTTAAAACTTTATATACTAAATCATCTATGTCACATGTGAAAAATTAATTCTTAATTTACATTAACAGAAGGTTATTTTACACAGTTCTGCTGACAACAAGCAAAAAGTCAGTTAACAAGACGATTTAACATCACAGGACAGGTCAAAAGCTGAGAATTCTGGGAAGACACGTGATTAAGCAACTTAGATTCTACAACGATATCTACTACAATTGCCAAAGAAAAAAGCTTATTATATCCCAATTATCTTATTTAGGGATAAGCTTTAAACTTTATAAATTTAGAGGTGTTTGTTTTTTCTAAAATCTAAAGAGAGCAAAAGAATAAACTAGGGCAGGAGAAGAGTGAAAGAACTGCTGGGGAGGTGCAAGGGGCAAAGAGAGAGAGAGAGCAGCAAAAGCTGGATTCTACACCAAAAGCAGACTTCTGTAGATCCAGAAAATGTAGGATTCATAAAGCTTTAGCTTGGGCGCACACTACTGTGGCTAAATGTGTTGGAAAAATGTTCAGCCAGCAAAAAAAACTTTATTACATAGATTACCTTTTTTTTTTTTTTTTTTTTTAATGTTCAATATATTTTCTTAACATCTCTGGTCAGTTTTTTGTTTAAATGAAAATAAACGCTTTCATGTGTTGGTAATTTAGAACATGTGTTTAATTTTTTTTTTTAATATATTTCTTTTTTTTTTTTTTTTTTTTTTAATTTTCCTTTTAAGGTATAATTGTGCATGGGAAAAAGTATTGTGTTTTATGTATTTGTGAGAGGAAAGAAGATGTGTCCAAACTGGCTAATCTTTGGTGGAATCAAATGTGGAAAAGACAGCACAAAACACATTTTAAATTTTAATTGAAGTGTCTAATGCAGGTTTTGGTTTTGATGAATATAACCATTGGTACTCCTTGCAATTTCTGAATGAAGTCCAATGTTGAAATAAATTTGTTAAAAAAAAAATAAAAAGGAAAGAAGAAAGAAAGAGGAGAAAATGGATCCATCAAGTACTGCAAAAAGCAGTAAAGAAAAAAACTATCAAAAAGTACAGTCACAGCAGTGAGCAATGTGGAGTAAACAGAAGCTGCAAAACACATAGAGACAGACTCTAGAAAAGGCTATGACAACATCACAGACATGGACAACACACTCAGTAACACAGAAAAGAGAGGAAGAAGAGAAATTATTACCTATAAATAAAAATAAAAGATTAAAAAAAAAAAAAAAAGGAAGAGAAAGAAAAGAAAGAAAAGGTGAGAGAGAACAACTCTGGGCGTTAGTGGAAACGGTAACACACCCTACCTGAGCGTAACTGCTTGATGCGGCCGTTGTTGTTGCTTGTGTCAACAGGTAAGAAATCTTTGAACCAAGTTATTTCGGGATCAGGATTGCCACTGGCTGCACATAACATGGTAGCTGTACGAGTTCGTTCAACCACCTTCAGCTGTGGGCCCATATCAATGGTGGGGAAACCTCGAGGAATTTGATCCTCTGCAAAAGAAATGTATGATTTGAAAGATTTCACAGTAGTTCCATTGTAACTCATGAAAGCCCCAATTACCACCCTGCTTAACATTCAAGAGCCCCCTACACTGTTTGTACAGAAGGAGCTGATGCAAAACCCAGATACCCAGGCAGTATTTTTAGTAACTTACAGTGATCAAAATGCTGATACAAAATTGAAAGTTTGTAAAAAAGGTTAGAAACTTCCTTATAAAATGCATTAAATTGTCATAGATACTGTATGTAGTGCATAATCATTGGGCTCCCACTATGGTACTTTGGTGTTGCTTTGCTTGAGAGAGTCCTTATTAGTTTATGTGAAACACTAAATTACCATGCCTATCAACAAGGAAAACCCCATTGCTTTACATAAGACAAGTACATAAGGAAATGCGATCACGCAATATAGGATTTGGCCAGGGACTCCAGAGACCCAAGTTGTATTTCTTGTTTTTATCATTGTTACCTATGTGGTGTTGGTCTGAATGTTTAACGTCCTTGTGCTTCAGTTGTCCATCTGTAAGATGGGTATGACAACACCTTACTGCTACAGAGAAGCGCTGTGAGGATGAACGCGTTATAAGACTGCAAAGCACTCAGAAACTCTGAACATTGGAGCTATGCAGCTATCAAAGTGACTGGAGATTCAGAACGATCTTGAATGGATACAACTGCGTCAACTAAAACACTCAATATGGTCAAAAATCCTCACCTCGTGTAGTCAATAGCGAAATATTATGAAATACTGAACAGGGACAATTTGCCTTCTTAAGACAATATACACTACCAAGTAACACCGGTAGCACAGTGGGATCAGAGAGTTTCTAAGACGACAAGTTAGTACAGGTAAAACGATCTATTTGAATCATGTCATCTCACTCTTCATTTCCATTAAAACAGCACAAACGTTTTTATTGCAAAATAATTGCTATTATTTCAATTTAATAAGGGCAAGCAAAAAAAAAAAAAACAACAAACTCAAAGAAAGAGGATCGATACTAACTATAAAACACACATTAAATGTCTTGATTGGTGGTTACTGACATTCAATTGATTAAGGGATAAATTTAACTTAGAAGGAATTGTTCAATGCCAACTCTCTGTCATGAAAAATGTGTCATATTTTCAAATAGTTTAAGAGAAGTCCTCAGACTTTTCTGAAAAATGTAGAAAGCAAGTACATCTTATAAATCTTTGTATTTCCTGGGGCCTGCTGTCAACTATGAGCTACTTAATTGCTTGCAATACAAATGCACATAGATACTACTCTGGTACAGTAAACATGATTGTCCAATAAGTTTGCATAAAACTTCACAGTTAGTCTTGCTGCCAATCAGTGGTTAACTGTCAAATCCTTCACTAGCTATAGGCTCCTCCCAAAGAAAGGTATATTTCATGTCCATTTATAAACATGAATTCTTTACTTTGGGAGTAACTGACAAGATTTGACTTGTGACACAGAACAGGATTTTTTTGACCTGACCTTTCCTTTCCTACTTGGCTCGTACAGAAAACACTGGAATCCCTTTTGCAAATACATAAGTGTACAACAAAGATAATCTATCTTGAATACTAATAGGATGGAGTAGTAAAGAGCTTTCCTTTCTTATTTTTAATAAGGGTAATTAAATTCCATCCATCCCCCTTATGCATAGAATCTCTTTGAATGAATGCTCTTCATGAAATTTTCATGAGAAAAATCACAATGTAACAGATTCAAATAGCCAGAACTGTTATCTTTTTGACAGTTGTGGCTTGTTTCCAATCTGGCTTTCAGGTATTTGGCAATAAAACCCAATATTCAACAGAAAATGGACCAGGGAAATAATGACATTTCTAATTGGAGTGCTTCTCACGGTGGATTTAGTTTTTAAGATGTTAATTGGCTTTTTTCTCTCTAAGTTTATTGGTGATTTGTACAAAACTGTCTTTACATTTTGATGATACCAAGTTTGACAGATCATCAAACACACTATGCAAGAGAACTGAGCATCAAATCAGTGAGTAACTCCCTCTCAGCCACAGTAAGAGAAAAGTAACTATTAGAACATTTTGATGTATTGCTAGTTCTACAATTTTACATGAGGTAAAAAGAAAAATATGTTTTACTGCTCATTAATATGCTCATTAGGATCTAAACCACAGTATATACCATTGCTCCCCATTAATATTCAGTTCTAGGGAATTAGCTTCCAATTCATCAACAATTTAAATCAGACATGACCTTCTGAAAGCTATTTGGTACTGTCATTTTGAGTGGCCATTAAAGGGCAGATTTCTCTGTCCTTGCACTTAGTGAGTCACACATATAATACATATTTTGTTTAGGATGACAGATACAAGACATTTAGAAACGAAGCACATTCTTTGAATTTGTTAGGTGCCTTAACACCTCTGCATTCTACTACTGGCATTAAGAGAATGCCTTTAGTACTGTGCTAGTACCATTTCCAACTGGTGGAGGAGCTCTACAAAAGTTATTTTTCACCAAATATATGATCTGAACAACACAGAGAGGTAATTACAAAGATTGGTTACCACATGAACCCTTAAGAGAGAATGACAGGAAACAGCCTTGCCTTGTTTCCCATAATGGTTGTTCTTAGTATTTCTAAACTGTTGCTTTGTGTATTCAGTTTGTTTGACATTGCTTATCTGTAAACAATGTCCTTGAGAATCCTACCTCAAGGCAGGAATCCTACCTGCTGCCAGTTTTGTCAAAGTTGCTTCCTTTCCAAGCAACACATATGGAAAAAGCACATTAACCTCTACATTTAGATTTCAGTATCTACAGACATTGTCCAACACATAATTTCACATGTTGCTGAACATGTCTTGGAGGTGAGCCTGCCCTCACAAATGCAACAGCATTTAAAGTAGAAACTGAAACTCACCTTGTATGTATAAACAGTAATTTTGATAGAGCGGTATCTTGAAAATACCAACAAGTTAAATTATGCTCTACAAAAAAGAAACCATACTTACCTTTAAGAGTATTTACTGAGAGGAATCCCTGAACATAGCTCTGCCAAAACTATGTGTCAGAAAGTCTGTTGTGCTCATCCTTTAACTCTCATTTTAAAGGAAAAAGTGTGCGGTTGCAATCTCTCTTTTTAAAATGATATGAACTTCCCAAGCTATGTCTGAAGGTATACTGTAAAGCCTATGTATATACTGGATACATAGGCTGGATCCAAAGAAAGAAGAGGATTTAATGCAAATCCAATACAATTTGACTCTTCATGGTAAACCTATCCAAGTGTACAACACAGCTAAACAAAGAGAAAAACAGTGATCTTTACTCAGCATTTATGCCACACCTCCTTGACATTTTGATCGCTTTTCCTGTAAAAAGCAACTTTCAGATCATGCCTATGCCCCGGGGGCAGCAAGAAGAGTAGCAGCTTTTAGAAACAGATTGGGTCTTCAAGTCTTAAATTCTTCATGGCTACATTGCTGAGTCACTCTGACAATCAGCTTTGTGGTTTTAACAAGAAAGACAGAATAGTGTCAATGATATTCCCAGTTACAGTACTTTATGATTATATTACTATGATGTGGATATGAAGTGCAAGTGTGAAGTACCCAAAGGAAATTCTGATGATTTTTTAGGTTATGGATTAGAAAGGCAAGGTAATAGCGCCAGGGTCCAAACTGGACAATTGAAATGAAAACTCAGTAATATCTATGTTAAGTAGTTCCTCCCACATTAAGTGTTTGCTCCATAAAACTACCCATATTCCAGAATATCTGTAGTTAAATCAGTGCAATCTGCCTAACTAAAATACATAGTCAAAGTGTTTCACTATGCCGCTTAAAAAAATATTGTCCTATGTGAACAAGTTATTCTGGTTGTGAAAATGGAGGGTGGTTCTCCATTCTATTGAGGAAGAAGAAAAAATCTATGTCAAGATTCACTGATAGCTTTGCCACAGGCAAATTTTAGTCATTCTGTAGCTCACAGAATAAAAAGGCACACATGGAGTATTCCCAGAGTACACTATACATACTGAAGATAAATTGCTGCAATAAAGTTTATTATTTCAAAGAACAGTGTAAATAAAGCTTTTATTTTCACTATTCCAGATGGCAGTAGCATATAATTTGCACTGCTTTGACATGATGACCGTATTATTCAAAATCATTCTTCCTGCAACACAGGATTGAGAACAGTAAAATCAAAGAGAGTAGGGGAGGGAGTAAAATGAAGATTTTGCAGCAAAGTTGCTATTCTGTACTATTATTGAAGAACTATGCATATGGAAAAAAAAAGGAAAAATAAAAACAATGCCACTTCTAATTACACATAAAAGACTAATTTGGATTGAAAAGATATAAAGGATCAGGAATGTGCTAGTTAATAAACATTATTCCTATTGAAATATTTTACAAGGTAAATTTTGCCAAAAAAGTAATTATGATCACACAACATTCTTTACCCAGGGTCCTCTGTTCAGAGCTGCTATATACAGATTGCTACTTTTACTTAGTAATGTAAGTCAGTGAAGGAGGGCAATGGCTATACTGTAAGAATAGATCTAAGTATCTGTTGGGATTTCTCTTACATTTCACACAATTATGCCACACAAGGAAGGGAATTAGACATCTACAAGATGATCTGAGACTCACTAAGTATTCAACGACAGATCAGCTGCCCATTATATCCCACTAAAAACCATGTATTTAAAAATATTCTTCATATATTGAAGAGAAGTGCAAAGCACTTTTGATGCAAAAGAAAACAAATTTGTTTAGTAGCTCTGTATGCAATTACCCTGCAAATTGCAAAGTAATGTCTATATAACAGAACGCAGAGTCACTCTAGACTGAATTATCATTTGTATGAATGTTGAAGCAGCAATTTCACATTACATTAAGTCAGTTAACATTCATTGTTATTAGCATTTAGCCTTAAATAAGTTCTCTGTTTTAACAAATGAGTGTATTGAGCCTTTGAAATTAGATATCTTGATAAAGATGCAAAATGG